CCCCAAAACCCCAAAACCCCAAAACCCCAAAACCCCAAAACCCCATATAAGATGGCCACCATTGATGTTGTTAATAATAATTAGTAAATATGAAGAAAATACTGGAATGTGAAGAAAACTTATCAGATGAATTTCTAGACGAGCATGTCTCAGTCTCAAGTGTAAAGAAACTATCTCACTTGGAAGAAAATATGTCTAACTCTGCATTTCATAGTGAAGCTTCTTTCAGACGTTCACATAAATCATGAACGCCTAGAGTTGATTGAAATAACCCTGATGCTTTCTCTATGCATAAAGAGAGTGGGATGGTATGGAATCCTTTCCATTCAGAGAAGATGATCTCAGAATTCTCACCAAGAAATCATAACCTCCAAAGCGACATTAAAGAGCTGCTTCACCAAATTATGAACTTACGGGAGAGATCTCACCACCATCTTGACATACCTCCAAAAGATGGTGAAAGAAAAAGAGATGGTAACACTAGGAGGAAGGCATATGTCAAAGAGATCACGATGAAGGATATTGAGAAGCCTCAAATATCCGATTAATTAACCTTAATAACTTTATCATAAGAATTATTCTACTATTCAGAATGCCAAATTTGATTTTTACCAACTTGATCTTTTTGTACATATAAAATGTTCAAATATAATTCTTATTTGAGAATTTACTCTCAATAGCTAAAATTAGAAGCGAAGGGAGGGAGAAACCTGAGTCACCCGATTCTTGATAAAGCTGGAAACAGCACTTTATTAATACCCGACAAACTCTTGTTATTTCTGAGTTTCATACTGCTTATTGCTTGCTGGTGCGGGTCCGAAATATATATTTTGACATTCCCAATCGATTTTATGCCCAGTTACAAAGACTTGTTCATCATCTCTCTTCAGAGGGCTAGTTGTTATTATATCTTCGTCTTGAGTATTTCCAAGTACATGAATCAGAAAATATTTATTTTTCTAGAAATATGGTTTACATACATATTTCGGAATATTATTTCTGTTAAATTTCTACTTCTTGGATTAGAAGAAAATCTATGAGTATTTAGTTCAGGTTATACACTGTAATGGGGACTTAAGGGCCCTGCAGTTTATCGGTGAATAAATCTAGAGATTAGATTTGAAATATTTTATTTTTCCAAATTCATGAATCTAGAAAAAATAGATATTAAACCAGGTTTTGATAATAGTCAAAATGAATCAAATTTTATAAAGCTAGTAGTAACAAATATAGTTATGAGGTTTATTTGATAAAACACAACATTGTCAGAAGCGAGGTGCTCAAGTATCATTAGTTCAGGATAACTTTATATAATCTGTTGTAAAATCTTTTGCCACATTTCTGATACTTCAAACTATTAAGACATCTCTCAGATTTGCACGGCACAAACTACAAATATAGAGAATAAAACTAGATCATTTTTAATTCTCTAGCTTGTTTTGAATTTTTAAAGACTTCTAAAAATTTGGCTTCCGGTGAATATTCCTTAGCCTTAATTAATATTAGTTGTCAATATTAATAATGACGTGAGGGGTTTTGGGGTTTTGGGGTTTTGGGGAGATT